TACTGTTGAAGTCGCCAAGCAGCATACAGCACCAAAGTTTGAGAACATAGGACCAAAGACTCGAGGAGAGGGATCATCATGGATAGTGTCTCCCATGTCAATCTCTTTATTGAGCTGATCGCATAGGTACCCCAGCAATGACGCCGGCACATCTGCGGGGGAAGCGAACGGAACAAGGGTCGCGACTGTGACACGGTCTCGAAGGGTCACCTGGCGGGGATATATGTTGGGTGGCAGCTGGGGATTAGCTGGATCAGGGTACGGCAGCTGTCCAGAGGTGCGAAAGATCAGAGGCCCAGCTGGGTCCTCCAGAACAGCGGGCATGGTCCCCTAAACCGCCCTTGTAGGTCACGAGGCTATTGTTCATCATGAATTTCCATCAGTGAACGCAGCTTGTAACAGCAGCAAAAGTTCAACTAAAAAGTATACAGTAGTTTGAGTGTTTAGGCCAAAGCTTCTTGCTAAGTATATAAAATAGGGTATTGTAACCGGCCCTCACATCGGGAAATGCGCCGAGATAGGCAGCGTGAGGCGACTACTTGAAGCAATAATATGGGTTGACTTTACCGAAGAGCAACCCCTCCTGTGCCAACAGACAGGTGTTTGTCGTCCTATCTGGAACAATAAAGAGCCGGGAGACAAGGGTCAAGAAAGGGGCTAAGGTACCCAAGAACTGGACGAAGCAACGCACACTTTGGAACGGCTTCGTAGATTGGAGAACGGAGGCAGCAAGATACCCAGGTGTGCTTGGAGCAAAAGTGGTTGCAGAAGGTCGCCCTCGAGGTGGTGGGCATGGAGCTTACTCAGCTCGGCTTCCAGCGGTGGGACGGATCATCGTACCTCCGATCCTGCAAGGATTGGCATCTAGGATTCATTCTCCGTATATATGAAGCATTATTCTGTAGATACGAATCATATAATACGCTATTTAGAACTGCAAACAAGCACCTAATGTAACGAGTCTACACAGATGTGCGATCATCATAGAACGCGAATAGGGGGAGAAAACCTAAATATGTGAATGCAAGGACGATAAACCATGTCCGTTGTAATTATTTTTTGTTGCTAGTATTCAAATCATAATTTTTTCATGGACTAGAGCAGAGCTAGTTAATGTGGCTGAGGACCAAAAATAAAGGTGTGATGGAGCAAAGTGTCATATTGCTTTGTTGTTAGCCGTGCTATCTCCGCGGCTTCGCAATTCCTGTCCGGTCCGTAGTGATGGTGGCATTGATGATCTTATCGAACGCCTCGTCTTCACCATTATCTTCACTATCTTCGCCATTGTTGTCATCAGCAAGAATGTTCGTTTGTTGGGATCCGAAAACCGTCCCCGCGACGCCACTCCTTGACGTTTCTGGCCTCTTGATTTTTTCGAACTGCGACTTGGATGTTGCCTCAAGTTCTGTAACATTCGTAAATGGCCTCGAATTCAGAACCCTCCGCCGCAACTCCGCCATCTCCTCATCGTCTGATTCATCAGAGAGCGCATATGGGTCTCTCCCTGAATCCTCCTCCTCTCCTCGAGAAACTTCGCCTTCTTCATCTTCTGCGTCCTCATCCTCTGAATCAGATATATCCCGCCTATTCGTATTCCCAACCGTCCACATATCATCAGCGCCCTTCTCCACCCGACTCTCAGAATACTCCCTCTCGATCTTCTCAAGCCAATGCTCCTGCGTATTCTTCACATCCGCCTCTGTCTTACAAGCAGCATATCGTTTCAAAAGTTGTGAATTGATTTCCAAAAACGCCCTGCCATACGGAAACTTCTTTAGAACTTCAGAAGCCCAATCCTCATGTCCACAGATATAGAAGGCGGCTGCTAGTGCCTCCGCGCAGTTTAGTCGCCAGGGGCGTCCGTAGTTCACTGAGTTGGCGGCGACGAGGTAAGGTACTAATGGAACTTGTAAGAAAGTTGTGGTTTCTTTGACCCAGTTCCCTTTTCCCAAACCATCCAGAAAGGCACTTCATTCATTGAACGGGAAGGAAACAGGAAAACAGGTACTCACATAACCTCTCACACTTTCCACCAATTTTCGACCAGGGGACTTCCTGAGTCCTCACCCACGAACACTCTACCACCGCAGCTCCATATTGCTCTAGCAACTCGTTATCGGCTGGGGAGATCGTGCGCTTCGCATTCGGTCTAGTAAAGGTTAGAGGAAGCAAGAAGGCTGAAAACGTAGTGAAAAGATATAGATAGGCCTTATGGAGAACTCACGAAATCACAACCCCGGCAAATTTCTGTCCAATCTGGAGCTCACGCATGGCACCATGCTGCATCAGTTTTTTTCCAGAACATCGCTTGGGGTCACAATGGCCTAGATCCCAACATGCAGCTTTAAAAGGGAATATGTTGGACGCGTCCCCATCGTCATCGGCAGGGAAGCTCCGTGCGAATCTTTGTTGGCGGGGTTGTGATGGGTAGTTGCCTTTTCCTCGTTTACCAAAGTTATCTTTTTTGTGTCGAACCATTCCTCTCACCGCCGCAAGGGTGATATGATGTATGATTTCGTCAATAAAAGCAGAGAAAAAACCCGAAAAGAAAAGAAATGGAAAATCCCTTTGATGATTATAGTTGGTTGTCGCATGGTACTAGAGTTCCTCGAACCTGGACTAGAACCAGAGGGAATAACCTAATTCCGACGCTTCAATACGTCATAGTATTTTTAAAGTAAACCCGCGAGTAAACGCTGTAAGAAAGGTTGTCTTGCTTGAAGCAGCATTGACAAAGGCAATCAAATGATATCTTGAATCTTTCCCACAAATATTTTGTCTAGTAAAAGGCCCCGAATAATTAGCCAGGCGTGAATTGGCCAGGGTCCACAGCTTAAACAAATCAAATACCAGCGCATCAGAGACAGCCGGTTTCTGCTGTAGGGAACATTCCTACATTCTTTCAAGCGATCTGGCGTCATATTTGAATCCTTCTTCAGCTTCTCAGGCATGCTCTCCATTTGGTCGCGGAAGTTAATGCTCATGTGAAACCCCCCTCCGCAACAAGTATCATTGCTACAACTATTCTCTGTGGTTTGGGAAGCAAGCGGATATGGTGGATGCTCAAAGTCATCTACCCTATTACGGCCCAATTGGATGCATCGAGAGACGGAAATTAGGGCAATGAATGCCGAATGTGTCAGCTTCACCTGAGGCTACAAATCTCACAGTGTGGCATGGAGGAAGCGGGCATGCTGTATTATCACAGCCGGATTGAATTCTTATATGAAGATGTGAAGCAATTAACCGCGTTGTTAACGATTTTGATGTTGTAAATTACTGTACTGTACATATAGTAACATACGCGCATCATATCGAGTTCTGTCTACCCCGTAGTTAGTCGTTGATTAGGGCATACCTGCGAGGCTCCAGCATTTTCTCCTGGAACTTGTCCGTATCGCTACCGACGCGGGAAGCCACTACGAGAAAAAGTTACTGGCTTTCCATCGCTTTCCCTGTTGCCAAATTGTTGTCGTAGCCCATCCCTGGACGGCCTAGACAAGCAGGCTGTGATGGGATTGTCCGTTGAAATGTGCAAGAGTAATATTTATATTCCCACGAGCTCGAGTGTATTACTGATGACAGCCACAAACCAAACGGAGAGACTTGATCAAGGTCCATGAGGCGAAGCTCCTGTTCTACCATAAAAATACTAGAATATGTATTTCTGCTAGATGGGATAATAAGCCAAGGAGCGAGAAGTGGCATCGCTGGTATTGTCATACGTTATACCGGGAAGGTTCTTCGTGAGAATAGAAGGCGTGAGATTGCAACGAACGATAGTAGGATGAGTTACCGACCGGTGTAGGCATCTAATGAAAATTGTCAAGTGTAACATGCCCCTTAGCTATGGTAAATTTAGGCCGTTGCGCTCAACACAGAAATAGAATTTCGGAATTTCGTGACGGTAGGACAAAACAAAGTAGAGAGTACGTTGGCATGGCTACTAGTAATTGACAGCCCGGGTCACTTTAACTTCCATTTCTAATATCCAGAGTTCGCTGTGTTGGCGTTGGCGATGGGAAGATGTGGTGCTGAGTCAAAGACGTTGGTACCTACAGTAGGTGTAGAGAGAGATATGGGGTCTGAGCCTCTGGCCCCGCTTGGATTAAAGAGGAAAATAGTAACGTCTTCCATAGTATTCAAGGCCAACCAAGCCTAGTTTACCTGGTACACTTCATCCTAATCATCATTAATACCACGACACATCGACTGGCACATCCTCTTATTCCGTGGTGGAGGCAAGAGATTTTCACTCTACGCTTTCGAAGGTCCTTCTTGAAGGTTCTGATTCCCTGACCTATCCGTCAATCTGGAGGCGACATCTGCACGCATGGCAGCGAGGGATCGATTTGGTGTCTTCGCTGAACCCGCGCAATCAACCCTACAAAGATACATCTGTAGGTTCTCTCTGCTCCACTACTTCTCATTCCAAGTATTACATTTTTTCGCTTGTTCTAATTTAATATTCTTTGGTCGTAGACAATGCATGCGACCCCCAGAATTACGAACCCAACCTTGCTTTGAATCTCGAAATAGCTGATCTCATAAACTCTAAGAAGGGCAACGCGTGAGTTCCTTCGCTTGAACCGGAACCTCTCGCCCTCTATTTCATTGGCACTGACGATTGATAAGGCCTCGGGAAGCTGCTATCAACATAGTACATCTCATTAATTCGCGGAATCCCAATGTGGCGCTACTCGCCCTAGCGGTATGTTGAAGCTTGCAGTCCGAAGAAGCGGGATACTGATCGTGGTTATGATGTTAGCTTCTTGATATATGTGTGAAAAACTGCGGATATCCCTTCCATCTCCAAATCAGTACGAAAGAATTCCTTAATGAGCTGGTACGGAGATTTCCCGAACGCCCTCCGATCCGACCATCCAGAGTACAGCATCGAATTCTAGAGTCGATCGAGGAATGGCGGCAGACAATATGCCAGACGTCACGATACAAGGAGGACTTGGGATTTATCAGGGATATGCATCGCCTGCTTCTTTACAAGGGTTATATGTTCCCGGAAATTCGTCGGGAGGATGCAGCAGTTTTAAATCCCAGCGATGTATGTCGGCTTTTATATATTCCCACCACATTAGGATCATATTGACCATTGGCTAGAATCTCCAATCTGCTGAGGAGATGGAAGAAGAAGAGCGGGCTGCCCAATCCGCTAAACTCCAGGAACTCATTCGAAGAGGGGGTCCTGAAGACCTACAGGAGGCGAACAGGTTGATGAAAGTAATGGCGGGGTACGACTTACGGCATAAAACGGACTATAGAGCAAAGGCTGCTGAAGAGGTCGCCAAAGTCCAACAAAAAGCAAAAATTTTAGAGGAAATGCTTCAAAGCTACAAGCCCGGTGATAAAGTAAAGGAAGGGGACGTTTTTGAGGTAGGTTATACCTCAAATCAAAAAACTAGGATTTTTTTTAATGAAAAACCATCAGGAACTCGCCAATGCCCTCCAAAGCGCACATCCGAAAATCCAAAAGATGTGCGAGGAGGAGTCGGATGACTCAGAAGCTGTTGCCAAACTCTTAGAAATCAATGATAGTATACACCGAACTATCCAGCGTTATAAGTTAGTGAAGTCGGGCGACCTAGAAGGAGCAGCCAAAATTCCGAAAGGAACACTGGGGACGAGCACAGGCGTGAAGAAGAATTCCGATAATGAATTATCCTTAATCGATTTCGGTGATGATACTGCACCTGGCTCCAATGGCAGCACGGCTGTCAGTACATCGCAAAGCCAGGTACTGTCATCGGAAGGAGATCTCCTTGGCCTTTCATTCCAAGAAAATTCACAGCCGCAAGGCGGTGGCATATCTCTCGGAGGTGGCTTTAGTTCAAGTAAGTAAGCCTTGGATATCAACGAACCAAGTTAACAATTAAAAGGTCCATCGACTTTATTGGGATTATCGTCTACATCATCACTGTCCAGAAACCTGTTTGATGACCCCGCCCTTTCCACATCTGCTGTCTCAGTGTTGGAAACCCAACCCCCGACAGCTATGCCAGCCTCAATACAACAGCAACAACAAAAGGCAGCAACGCCTCCACTGGGGGACCCATTCCCATCTCTGGTTTCGGCACGTTCCCAGACTTCGTCACCCTTCAACCACCTTCAAAGCTCTTTGGGATCCAGCTCCTCACCATCATTTCTTGACCTAGGCCAGGGAATGTCTCAGACAGCTACACAGCCGGCAGCAGCACCCACAACTACTACAGGGGATGATGAATGGACCTTCGCCTCGGCCCTTCCGGAGAATAATCTGCCTAGTACCGGCAAGGTACAAGTCCTGAAATCATCGATAGGCGTTGACTTTACTTCCGCTAGGAACGCAGGGGATCAAAAGATACATGTGTTAGTCTCATTTTCGAATAATACCAGCCAACCAATATCCGACCTCCACTTCCAAGTTGCAATTGAGAAGGTAATAGGTGGTCCCGCTTCGTTCCTTCACTCCCTCCCTCCCTCCCGTCCTCCCCTTCCCTTTCCTTCTCCTCCCGTCCTATAATCATCTTCTACCCCTCCCCTCTTATCCGCGACCTACATAGACCAATATACTAATGCCGCTAACTACTAAAACAGGCATATAGCTTGCAACTGACGCCGCAGTCTGGACGTCACATAGCCCCACTGCAGCAGAACGGAGTTCGTCTTGAAATGCAATTGAACGGGATCCCATTCGGGGCCGGGGACTCAGTTAAATTACGGTATAAGCTTTCGTATAAACTTGGAACGGAGGAAAAAGAAGAACAGGGGCGTGTACCTCCCTTAGGCATAGCATGATATTGCAATACACCACTTTCTTCTCTCCTGGAAACTGGCTAATTGAAGTAATGGCAAACAACGGAAACGGAGGGGGGGGAAGCGAAACAATAAACAGATAAAAAAAATGACGCAGAAAATCCAAAACCCGGTCAAGAAATAGCTAGCCAAACGTGCGAATCTAGCGCAGTTTTTCCGTCCTATAATTCCAGGTTCCCTTCAAAATGGCACTGGTTTTGTACCTCTTCGTGTTATTTTAGCTTGATAAATTTGGACCAAGATAGTTTTCACCTCCGCGGCTCCTGTGCATTTTCCTTGCTTTATTTTACTTTAATTTGTGTACTTCTTCTGCCCGCCCCTCCCTTGTCAACTTCTGTAAGACCCTAGATTGTATAAGTGACCAAGGCCTTTTTATCACACAAAGGTCGCATGTCCGAACTATATCGTCATCAAAGATTGCAAGGCAGCCCGCGCGCTGTGTAGTTCAAAACAGATCCTGGTGATCACCTAGTCGATCCACCTTTTTGCCGAACCCCTGGCGGGCCATCACTTCGGGAGCGGCTCTCGGGAATCCGTGGGAATTAATATTTGTTGCCTACGAATTGAAAATAGGACACAAGGTGGCCAGCAAACATAAGAAATCAATGGTTCATATTCGTGTTTTAATAGGTAAATTGAGGCCCAGAAAAAAATTAAAAGGTTGGTCCAGGAAAAGAACTTCACCTGAGCGAGCTGGTTGCTACGGCTGCGAAGTTACCATATTCCCCCGCTATTTCGAATTCCTTTAGCATCACACACCCCTCCTCCTCCTCTCCTGACGTGGCTCTCAAAGACAGGCATCTCTGGCTCTTAACACCTGACAATCCACCGCCCATCCCTCCACAAACACAACTAGTTCGTCGTATTATGGGGGATAATACATTGCATCCAATATGCAATTGGGTAAATCATCCCATGGCTCCTGCATACGAGACCTGCCCTAAACGGTGTGGAGTGCAGCATGATGGTGTCATGTTGCCTTTAGCTTGGCCGAACGGATTTGCATGAGGGCGATGGAATGACACCGCAGCTTTTGATCACATCCTTTCTTCTTGTGCCGTACCGATGTCCCTTGTACGGTATGGACGTACATGTACATGTACAGTACATGTGCAGGCATTGCGCATCGGTACCTGCCTAAGTGTGCATATTTCTAAATCCGCCTGGAGCTGCCATGTAGTCATGGCATCGTCTGTGCATGAGGATTGGTGACTATTGCCATGCAACAGTGAGATCGGTGCATTTGCAGGTTGCATGCGGAGGATCTCTAGCAATAGTTCGGACGCACATATTATTATGGGATTGCTTGTGCCGTCTCTCTCTTCGCCAGGTGACCTCAACGTGCATATATAATTAAAGATGGAGAAGTGCAAAGTCCGCAACCAACAACACTCACAACCGCCCTAAAAGCAGGAACAATATTTTTCGGGACTTTTGATTCGTCCAAACAGTTGGCGGTTGGAAGGGGAACTCAAATGGGATAACCCTCATGGCTAGCGAAAGGCATCCAAACTTACATACTGTACATAGTAGCTAGCCAATTTCAGCCCGTTTTTATCTTTATATATTCTGACATTAACTTTCAAATCCCGAAGCGTGAGAAGCCTCTCCCTCGTGCAAAGATCAAACAGCGAGTGTGTTATAGGCGGGAATGCTAGGCCGTTGAGCGTACATGTAGTATCCATATGAAGTGGCAAAATATGCACGAGAACGCTCAAAGTATGGCGAACGAGGCATCTGGCCTGCGCATCCCTACCTCGGTTTGGCAGCACAGCAGATCCTGTGGAAAACTTCGTTTTTTGGTACATGGACATTACATGTACTGTACAATATTTGGGGGCTCATGTTTGGCTGCCTCCAACCTGTTAAGCCGGTGAGTGTCGTCTGCAGTGTCGAATACGATAATATAGACTACTCCGTACCTGCCTAGGAAGCTGTTCTGTTCGCATATAACCTGGATTCCCCAAGAGGATTGTCTTTTAGTGCTGACAAGATTGACAGGGGATAGATACCTGTCATTGATTCATGATTGACTCTATCCCTGCGAGGAACATCTTTGAAGATTTCGAAGGCGGGGAGGGAGTGTTGGTTCCGGAAGGTGGGGGATAAAGTGGACTCATATTTTCTTCTTCCATATGGTTTGCGACCATCACGGAACCGGGTTGAAGGTGTGGAGTGGCCAAACGGAGATAGCTTTGCGGACAGGACTGGAGGCTGGAGCCTCGTCCCTTCAAAATGATTGTTCTTGCCATCACAGCCAAGTCTTCTGCACCAGAGCCAGATATCGCAGCCCTTACATGATAAAATGCGTGTGGTCAACTGTTAGTTAGTTAAGCGGTTTAGTTAAGAGTCAGGGTATCGCCGCCGACACCGTAGCACCTCTAAGCCATAAGTCAGAAGGTCCTCCTTGAAACTACCTGTTAAAAAGCACGAGGCAAAATTTTTTGGCCCGAAAAAAAACCGCTTTCCAGTGCGCAACCGTAAAAATCAGCAGCGCCGGGTTTATTTTAGCCACTGAAGATCAAGGTTAACCAAGGCATGTCGAAACCGAGAAGTTAAAATCCCGCCAACGGCGGGGGGAACGAAGTCGCATTTAATCTCTGCACCAGCTATTTACACTTGATACAGAAAATTACAGCTGCCTCCCCATGATGAAACATGTTGTACCAAAATAACCAACAACCAACCTGGCCAGAAATAAATATAGAAATAAAATAAATAAACAAATGGCATATTTCTACTCATAGAGAATATGTGTGTGTAGTTGTATTTCTGTGAGTCGAGCGTGATGTATACTTGTAGTTACTAGTACTGGTACTGAGTGCCGGGGATCAGGCAATACGATTCACCAAGTATTAACCATCAATCGGTTTATCCATCGTAATTTATTGTCTTAAACTGTGCCGTGTAAAACAATTTATTTACCACCATACCTCCATCTATATTATGGAACGTGCTTCTTATTAAAAAAAAAAAGAAAAGAAAAGAAAAAGAAAAAGAAATCACCCATATTGGTGTCTTGGTGGCATTCTACATGGGCAACCTTGTAAGGTTCCAAGGTTGAATATTGAACACGTGACTTAGAAAGATGGCGGCTCAGCCAAGAAGAGCAGCAACGCCACTGAAATCTCGGCCAGAAACGCCTCAGCGAGGCCTAAACAACTAAGATCGCAGAACTCTTCCTTAGAGCTATTATTGTCTTTCTGTCGAGGGTTTTCAGACTTACCATCTTTTAACCCGTGATATATATATATGGGTGTATTTTAGATGAATGGTTTGTGGGTCCAACTTGCAAACGAGAGCCCCATGTTACTTTTAAAAAAAGCAGGACAGCTGGCAAGCCCAGGCATGATTATATAATAGAGCATTTAGCGATTTGCGGATCTCCGATTGGCCACGCTGGATGATCAGCCACTAAAAGTGACGGGGCCTGGTGGTTCTTGTCCAAAATAACCTAGTGCGGTTGCTGACCAACTTTCTCCAGACCAAACAGTGCTCAATCAGGAAACTTTTGACCTCAACCAAGCCGCTGTACTTGAGGCCACAACTAGTTCTGCCAACTTGGAACCTGCAAACCATAATCCGGGCATTGGATGCGCCTTGATGTCTGCCCTTACAGAGCCCCTAGTGCCGTCTTGCGCCATCTGGTGCTGTCTGGTGTTGTCTGATGCCCTGCCTCCTATCCAGACCTGGGTTCGTGGAAGCGAGCGTGTGGGTGTGTATACACTTGGGACGGATTCCAAGTCTCAGGTAGGTACCTACGCAACTATTTTCCAGTTCTAGGCTGGCTGTACTCATTTCAAGGTTAACGCTTGCCATTTTGTAATGTCTATGATTCCTACCCCATTGGATCTACATCCCGCCCTTCTTCGTTGGAGGCCTTTCGGCCTTAGAGAAACTCTGTGCTGGAAAGGGTTCCCCTGTCCGTGGCCGGTTTTCAGGGCCAAATTGTAAAGTGGTATACGGCTGCTGCCTTCCATTCGACCTTAGTTTGCAAATATTCCACACTATCAGAGCCATCTTTCCTGTAACGCTCGACTACGGGGATCCCAAGCATGTTGCTAGTGCCACCCAGTTACAGATTCTGCACTTCCATGGTCTCCTTTTTTCATCTTTTCTTTTCTTTCTGAGAAGGAAAAATGGAGTGCCCGCCATCGAAGAGTAGACGACTTTTTGCTGCGGGTAAATGGAACGCCAGCCGTATACGCTCACGCTTTGGACCCCTGCATAAGCCTCTGGCTAGCTTGCCGGTCATTCCTACTCCATGCATGCATTCTGCGTGTGGTCTGTGCTGGGCACCTCAAAATTTTCCGCATTAATTTCAATAATAACAATAATCGTTATTGTTGGTGAGCAGTGGAGGTGGATTGAGGGGCCCCGGCTCTGGCTGGCCGTGTGTGCAGAGCACGGGCTACTACAGGGCCCACACGGCTCACGGCCCATCAGAGTCTAGGTAGGAGATATCCTGCGAACCGTGGTTACGACGGAAAGTCTAAGGTGGGACTTGGACTAGCGAAATCCTTTTCGGTCCCGACCTCCTTCCCGGACCCTTCCCTAAACCACCAGTATTGCTTTCCTTGGCGTACCTGCAACTTCGCACTCCCCACTGCTGCTCCTCATTACTTTTGTCTCCTCATCTCCGTCATAACTTGTTGCTTTTCATCCCCCATGCAATAACCAAGGAGATCTCCCGAATCCACATCGGAGGAAATTATTGCTTTTTCTTCGAGCTCCCCCGTATGTCAGAAAAGACCAAAGAAACTAGGCCGCTCGGTTACTGCATTACGGTTTACTCCCTGCCGCCTTGTTCATCTATATATTCCAGGAAACGCTGTCTTTCCCTCTATTATTACACGAAACCTTCTCTTGTTCTTCTCCTGTTCAGATTCGGACGGCTGCCATATCAATAGTCACTCAAACCCCCGGGTGTCTTTTTCCTGTCCCTTCCCCAGAGATCATAATTTCCTTGCTCCTCGGTGACTCTTTATAACCATGGCCTCTCCAACTTCCACTCGCGTTAAAGAGAGCAGGGACACCAAGGAGGTGGAGGATAAACATGAGACAGAATCAGAGAGAGAAGCAAGAGAGAAAGAGGATGTTAAACGGCGGTTGGAAAATCGAGAAAGGTTAGTCTTTTCACTCTTTGGTCATGCTTGTTCCCGAGTAAACCTAACTGTTGGATAAGGGCATTTATCGCAGCCTCCAGGAGAGGAGACAGGACCATGGAAGCTCGATTTGAGTCCGCGCTGCGCGCTTCAGAAGTTCACAAAGAACGAACTGGGAAGGGGTTGCGTATCACCATGGAAGCTGTCGAGAAGGAAGAGATGTACGACGAATTAGATGATGAGCACGGCAGAAAACGTCGGTGTCACATCGATAGTCTTCAGCTCAGGTCCCAGTCATTGGATGTGCACTTACACCCATACATGTTGGCCAATTTTGCAAAACCTCATGCAAATTCATCTTTCTCACAGCTGAACGGTAGCATACCCAATCCGTACCACACAGGGCCAATATCACCTCAGGGCGTATATGATCCCGCAATGTACCGATTCAATGGCTTACCAGGCGTGGAGGGCATGTTCAATAATCCGTTCAGCCCCCCAGCACCACATGGACGACCCAGTTCTCTACCTATTTCACCCAACGCTCCCAGCTATGATGGTCAAGGAATCGCCAATTTCAACGGTCAAAATAACAGGCTTAACCGAAGAGTGGCTTCGGATCCCGCCATTGCTGTTACACACCTAAATCATGCTGGATCGTCGCCCATGCGACCGGAATCTCACCCGCAAAAGTCTGTCCCCAGCTATCCCATGATGCACTCCTCGCAGCAGCAGCAGCAGCAGCAGCAGTGGCAGCAGCACTTGGAACAAACCCGACAGCAAGGGAACGATTCTACAAGACCGCATTCCAATATCCAACAACTATATCAACCCGTGCAGCAAGGGTCTCCAACTAACCAGCAAAGAACCTCGGCCCTTAAACCAGCCCCAAATAGTCGGCGGCAATCCTATCAACATATCCAGCAACCGCGCCCTCGACGTCTAAACACCCAATCTAGGGCGAGTCAGGTTATACGCATGAATTCTTTTGACTGTATGCCTTATACTCATTCTTCTGCTGTCACTTCTCCGGCTGAAGGGATGGGCATTACCGGCAGTTATCCCCGCACTGGCACTGAATATAACTGGGGTGCCAACACTTCCGCACTGAATTCCGCCACCGCTAAAAATTCTCCTTCCGGCTCTAACATTGAAAACCCAAGCAATCATAAATTGCCTTCAGGTAGTTTCCAGGAGATAGAAAGCCAAACTCTCGACCCTCTCATCCAGTGCACACCAATTCCAGTAAACACCAAGGTCCCTATGATCCAAACTCCATGTCATGGAACATCCCCAGTTTCCAGAGGCTCTTCGGCAGGTTCAATGACAACCTCGGGTTCCAGTGTTGCTGACCCTTCTCTTCCTTCGCCGGTTGTCAAGCAGGGATTTTCCGACCAGAATGCCCTTCCAATGGGCCTGAGTGAATACGTTCAGAATTCAATCATGAACAACAACGACCTTTTCCCGGAAGAAATAGTTGGTTCAGAAACATCATCTTTTTTCCAAGATGCGCTCCCAGACGTCAATGGACTCGAACTCAACACTGCCTCCCACGAGTGTTCTGACGAGAACGCCTTTCTCAAATACGAATATTCCGACCCATTTGGTGTATCCACCTTCTAATTGATCACTCGCGAACAACAAAGGGCAGGAGCACCAGCTTTTTTCATATCCTTCTCCTCCGCATGCCTATTTCTATAGATACGCTCATTAATACTCCCTTGATATTTCCTGTGTCTTCTGTTCCCTGGATCTGGCAATGGGAAGGGAAAACAGCTATATATAATCACTCATTACCTCTCCTTTGCGTTAATTTTCATATTGCCTGGTGCATTCTTCGCAATTGTTCTATTAACTAACAAATTTTCACTCAGCTGGGGCTTCCGATTTAGTTTCATCAAAGAGAGCTAGGGAAACTTGAGTTCCCTTCCCGCCTTTGATTTTTAGTTTTTACTTTTTGACTTGTTTTGTATGTTGGGATTTCCCCTTTAGCTATCTGGGAATTCAGAGCAAAGTTGATACCTCAAGAAGCGCGTATACTCCCTATGCGGAGAGCCTGTTTGTCTATAAGTCAGTTCTTGAGAATAATCTATAGCTCCCATGTTGAGAGGGATGGTGATAATAAAGGCAGAGAGAGCCCATCAAAATTTTTGTTTCTCTTTCCTTCTTCCTACCTCTTAATCCAAGACTCGCTAAGTATGTCCTTGCACCACGCGATGCTTAATTCTTTTATTTTCTTCTAATTCATCATTTATTTGGCCTTTTTTCTTTAACCCATACTTTAGTTTTGAGCCTTTCTGCTATATGTGCTGGACGCTCTTTAGCCTATCTCATTTTTACTGTTTTAATGCTCGCCACATATCCGGAACAACGCCTGATACCTTTTATGAGCGACATGCATATTTGCTGTATTTGCTATATGTATATCTGTCATGATACTCCAACTGCGCAATCGCATCAGCCTGCAATCTATCTATGGTTATTTGTGTGGCGAAGGCGGAAAAAAACCGATGCGGAAAGAGGGAAAGTCGAGACTCATTTGTCTCCTCCCCCCACCGCTTCTAGCTTCCATTAAGAAGCGGGTCATTTGAAGCAGATTCAAGAGAAGGAAGGGAATGATTTAAAGGGAAAGACGGAAAACAGGAAATGTTTGAGGCTATATAGGCTATGTGTGGATGCATGTATGTAGGGAACAAATAGTTTTTAATGTGGATTTTTTTTTTTTTTACTATTTCATAACTACCTTCCTTCTCTTGATTCTTTTTTTCTTTTTCTTTTCTTTGGATCTCCATTCCATTTTTGGAACACGGTAACCGGAAAGCATGCTCGGAATTGAATAACCAAAATATATATATACACAAATATATATAAATAAAGTTTACCGGCGGGGCAGATGCTAAGAAAAAAAAAAAACAAAGCAGGAAAAGAGTATATAAAATTCCTCTCCCCGCTTGACTTCCCACGCCACTGTCTACTTACTCCCTTGAAATTCCGCTTCCACAATCAAAAAGGGTAGAAGCGAGGACGAAGAATCTGTTCTTCTCTCTCATTCGCCTTTCTCGGCCGTATGGGGGCCAAAATGGACGTCCATTCATTGTTCGGCGATGTTGTCCTGCAGAGTCGATTTGATTCGATGAGCCGTTCGTTGCCTGGCCCGAGAGAAGCTTCCAAATATCTAGCAACGTTCTCTGGCAATGGCGATACACGAAGCATTCATGCAATGGATGTTTTTTTCTTTTTTCCTTTTGCCTGGGTCCTATGGAGAGGAGAAAGCAAATGCAATGGTTACCCGGAGGTGAATCCTTCTCTTCATTGGTCTCGTTCATTTTTTGTTGAACCCAAGCCCCAGCTCGCCTCCCGCGCCTTTTTTTTTTTTTTTTTTTTTTTTTCCCATACCGAGAAGTAAGTGCCTCACTAGTTATATATGCACTGCAGATGGTCCCCGGGACGATCAAAAAACAAAACTAGTCGACAATCACCTGCATAAAATACAGTAGTTACCAGCAGACGAACGGACGACGAACGACGAGCAAGGAATAGATAGGTTCACGGCGCCCCCCTTGCTGGAGAACTCTAAAATTAAAGTTGTTTCGCCCTACAGCGCCTGCGCACCACCCACAGCCGCCAGTTCTTACCGACCCCCAGCGAGAATCATGGATTCGGAGGTGGCGGGGGGTGTTGGGGCCGCCATTTTGGCGCTGATTGGATTGGAAGAGCCCGGCTACTGCGGGCCTGGGCTTCCACGCTCCAGGGAATGATGAGATGTGGTTTCCGGTGCTTAGATGATAAAGCCGAGAAGGTCCAGCGGTATGGGTTGAACTACAGAAGAAGGTAATAAGTAACCATTTGGCGTGCGGGTTTGTTTTCCTTTTGCTTTTTTCTAAAGAAAGCAAAAGGGTGTTGTTGGTTTTTCGTTCTGTTTTCTTTTCTTTTCTTTTCTTTTTTTTTTTCCTTTTTTTTTTTTTTTCCTTTTTTTCCTTTTTCCTTTTCCTTTCCTTTTCTTTTTCTTTTCCATTCATCCGCCGAAACAAGGAACGGTTATGAACTGCCAGCCAAAACGACTGACGAAGAATTTCGGCAAGCAACGACAAAAGTAGTCCAACAGACCCGCACCAAAAAGTTTGAACGCTGGTTCAAACCGCCTAACTTATCCTCCCATCCCATCATATAGTAGTTGGAAATTCTTTTTGAGTGCAAGCTCCAATGAGTTTTGGCAAGTCCCCAGGGCGTTGGGAGCTTCTATTATAAACTAAACTATACTCGGTAGTTAGTGAGGGAGCTTTGATTGCTCGGGCGGGTGAAGGACCTGCCTGTGCGCTAGGCACGCACCTCTCAGTTGTTGTGGCTGCTTCTTGTCGACCCACCTCCCGCTTAACTTGAGCTTGATGGGTGGACTTGTGGAGGCGAGATGTTGACTCCGTATGCATCCTTTGATTTGAACTTGCTTTTTAAGTAACTCACTCACTCACTGGTGCAGGTATTATGTAAGATTTTAAACCTGCAAGTGAGTAGAGACAGGTATGTAATTATAGTGATTTTTGAATGAACACTCATGCGAGTCATCTCAGCCATTTCAACAATGAACTAGTTCACAGTTGATTTATTGTAGCTAAGAAGCTGGAGGCTGACCTCGAGAACGGCCGGGTGACAAGGGTCTTTTGCGCAACAAACTCTCGCTTAAACATGTGAGAGCGCCAATAAATATCTGCTCTCCAAATCCCTTTCGACAACCCACAATGCAAACAAAGAACAAAAAAAAAAAAAAAAAAAAAAAAAAAAGGAAAGAAAGAAAATGCATTGATGAGCAGAGAAGCAAAAAGAGGAAAAAAGTCACAGGGGGCTGAAGTGGGCGGGGGATCTAGGCTAGCTATGATTTCTGAGTTTTGAAAATCCCTAAGCGCTTCCACGGTTCCAGACATCCCTACCGATGTCCCGCCCGATATCTCCACTTTTCCGTATGCCTAGGCTCGAGCTACTGCTTCGCCTTCGCTGACTACGGTATATGCTCGGGTCTGCGGGGCTTAGCCCGCTGGCACGGGCATACAGGTTGAGAATGTCAGTTAGGCTTACCACGCCAACGAGGTGGCCAGACAGCCTCGCACCGGGTAGCGAGGCGGCTGGAATAGATGTGGACATCGACTGTGGTGGGCCAGCGGGGGATATCAGCGTCGAATGGTAGGGTTGCGCATGGTGCGACGTAGTGGGAGGGGGGAGGCTCCAAGTAGATGGAGCTGCAGGAGACGATTGGGGCGACAGAGGTATGACGGATGGGCTGTTCAGAGGGATGTGAATGGCAGAGTGGGAAGGAGTGGAAGGTCCTGACGATGCCGGCGATTGAGGGTCGGTTACCCACATCCTAAATTTGTTAGCTAAAAACGACACAATTGCCCGATACTGCCCGCCTGCCATACCTGTGGGATCTTGTAGCGACTATCTTTGCCACTGTATGGGCTAACGTCGATTGAGGGTGAACGTGGAAAACCGGATACGAGTCTTTACCCTCATGCATGCCGCGGGTTGATAGAATAACAGAGATGAAATGTATGCAAGTGTTATTTAGGAGAGGAAGGGATGTTGATTTGGTGAGTAGCTGATTTCGGGGTTAGTGCAAGCATAACTTAAAAAGTAATAGCTTTGTATAACTACAGAAACACACCTTCACATCAACAACAGATATGTTTCCAACGACATTGAGTTGGTTGTCGACGACTGCGATTGAGGAAATCCCTTCACTGTTCATCAATTCCAAGGCTTCGGATAATGGCTTGTATCCGCTATAGAAACTGTTAGGATATTTATTTGAGAGCAAATTGTTTGCAGGTTTTCAGAGCGAGGGTTAACGGCACATCACCGGCACATACTTGATCGATATTACCTGTTGCGAACCTATCCTCAGATCTGCCAAAGACCGCGGATACAGCTGATCGATGACAGGAAAGCTCTGCCCGTTTTCCCACAGAAACTTCACAAGCCGCCATTGGCTGAAGATACCCACAACCTCGTTTGTATCTTCTTTCGCAACGATAACCCGATGAACTCCACCACCAAATGTCTCGACCGCTCTCATCAGACTGGCGCCGGGAGTAAGGCTCGTGATGGGTACGTTCAGGCCCAGGTTTTTCACGTCTCTCAGCGGGATTTCCTTCCCTTCTTTCGCTTTTCTCGCCAGCTCTCGCATGGACGCAACATGCTCCTCGCTTGGTTGCACCAATCCTACCACAAGCAGGAGATATGCATTGAGATCCGCATAATCGAATGTACCAATGGCAGTTTTATCTTTGGGCTTTTCGCGGATTAAAATAACAGGGGAACCGGAGTCGATCAGAATCTGCGGATAACAGAGGAGAGCAAAAAAGAGCCGGGGACAGATTATCAGCGGGTACTGGAAACATGGTAGATTTTTTTTTTTTTTTTTTTTTTTTTTTTTTTTTTTTTTTTTTACTTTTCGGCTAATCTGGTAGGAGATGAAATGAAAAAAACTATACATTCGTGGCCTCCTCGATTCCCGTATCCATTTCTACAAAGTGAAGATCACTCGGGGTGACCAGCTCGCCAACCGATATCTGGGTCCAGTCACGGCCCGCAAAGGCCGGATCTGCCGCATTTCCGGAAGGCGGATTATCGATGAGGCTTTGCACTGCAGATTGGGACAGTGATGGTTGTCGGCGAGCTCTGGGGGAGGATGGGGAAGCACGTAACGAATCACCGAAGCCTTGGCGCGGTTGTAGCGGGCTTATCGAGGCCAGACGGAAAGGCGTATTGCTAGAAGTTGGGGAGCGAGAATCTGTGCTAGAACGAGAGTCCCTGGAAGCCTCCGCGGATGATCGGCTGCCGCGGTCTGCCATGTCGCACTCTGTAAAACGGTATAGAAATGTAGGTGTGGGTGTATGAAACTTTCAAGGCGGCTAGCTAGGTGAGGGACCACGAGAGCAGAGAGCAGAGAGCAGAGAGCAGAGAGCAGAGAGCAGAGAGCAGAGAGCAGTCTGGGCAGACAGGAATCCCAGCAGAAAATGCATGGAGGTCACGGCTGGGGGCGCCTCTATATTCAGAAAGACAAAAGGAGAGCAACGCGCCCAAACATGGAGCATCGAAGGAGAGGACAGACGGGAATTGGGCGATGCTGCTGGGCGCTGATATCACACTTTGGCCGGCTTGCCCGATCCGGCTTAGCGGGCCTGGGTCCCAGGGCTCTTGCCCACGCTTCAGCAAAGCTCAATTTTGAACGAATCTCTATGATTGCTTCCCATACATAGCTTTTGAGTTGGGCTTGGGTAGTCTGGTTGGACGTGCGCCATTCACATATTTTAGTAGTATACAGATATTTACATGTGAAGGCCGTGGAAGGTCGAGTTTTGGCAGACAACTTCCCAAGCTTCGTGGGTCGAGAAATGGGAATTGCCGAACAAAGCCCTAACTGCCCTATCACGAACTTAAAAAGCGAGTGGGGACCCCGTCGAGTCTGTCTTGCGGGATGCGTTGGCAGACTTCCAAGCGCGGTGGAATCAACAATTCCTTTGTGGCGCCAACAGAGCAAAAAAAACTAAGTTTCAAAGTGCCTCAGGCATCGTGAATCGGCCAAAGGAAGAAGGCGAAGGGGTGTACTAATATACGACTGTATGTGTATGCTGGGGATCGGGCGATTCCTTGAATCCTACGCAGTAGCTCCATAGTAATTCTGCCAAACAGACCATACGTGAGATTTGAGACCGAGACTGCATGACAAAAACACTAGTACCTCCTCGTCTGGGGGCGAGGCAACAATTAGCGCAATACCATTAGTGTAATAACTACTAAGCTGTTAGCTTTCTCATACTAAAATCTATGTAATCTGATTTGTTGATACTGCTTCACTATCTTGTGTTTTCTGCTCTACGTGTTCTGCAACCTTGGAACCTTCTCTTCTTGATCCATATTCATATCCACCGTGGATGCGATCACCCCCTGCCCACCCTGCCCACCCTGGGATAGAAATATGACCTCTACAGGTGATTTCCAATTCTTCAATGCTTCTTTTAATCAGATTGACTGATTTATTTATTAGACAGTACAAAAACAGGTGTAAAGCGAAAGCGATCTGTCAGTGCACTTTTAGCAGACATTCCACCTCTGAAGAGTATTAGATTCAAACCTATGGAATCTCTTTATCGCCCCCCAGCTGTCAATCTGTCCAATGATATTGATCCACAGAATCCATACACCCTATTCTTTCTCTATATCTCAGAGGCAGATATTCAGAATATTGCCAGTTCCACCAATGCCTACGCAGAGATTCAGATATCAAGGAATTCAGCCATCAATCCACGGGATTGGCAGCCAACTACTCCTGCAGAAATCAAGGTATTTCTTGGGCAGATTATCTATATGGGAGTACATAAGTCTCCAGCAATTGGGAACTATTGGAACAGGAATGATGTACAGGGGCCACTTCATTCATCAAGATTTCATATGACACAGTATCAATTTGAGCAGATCAAGAGATATATTCATATATCCAATCCTCACAGACTGGAATCCTTCTACTCCTCCTTCATACAGAAGCTAGAGTCTTTATACTCCAACTTCCATACAGCATGTCAGAAATACTACAACCCAGGTTTAAATCTCTCCATTGATGAGATGATGATTCGGTTCTTTGAACAGTCCAAATACACAGTTAAGATGCCTCAGAAACCAATCAGACAGAGATATAAGGTCTTTAAACTAGAAGAACAGAGATATCTTTGAATCTTTTCCATGTCTCATAATAATCTCTGCATAAGTACGATGTTCCGAACTTCAGAATTAACCAAGACTGAATCTCTTGTGATGGAATTGATTGAACGGCTGCCTGTATTCTTGCAGAGCTCCGAGCAGCAGAGCTTCCGAAAAGGCATGGATCTCGCCCCTGTGGTGGATTCACAGTAAGAGGTTGCTGATTACTCAATTTATATAGATAACTACTTCACATCTGTTGCTCTATTCTATTATCTTTGAAAGCAAGGAATTGGAGCTTGTGGAATCATCCATTCTGTCAATCTGTCTCCTCTCCTGCAAGAACTCTGGATTATCCTCTTATATTTCCTTCAATATTCTGTGTATAATACTTCAAAATGAGGTTTTCTGTCTTGAATGGAAAGACAATAACATAGTATTACTACTGTCTACAATTCATCTGTCAGACAGCTTTGTTGAATGCGTCAGAAGCACTTAGAATTGAGCTCTACTAATGACTCTCAAATCTGAAGAATATTTGGAGATAACTGGCAAAAAGCTGTGAAGATTCCTACCATTATTGATGATTACAATCATAATATAAATGGGATTGACTTAGCAAATCAGTATAGAGCTTTCTATGAGACTCATATGCCCACTAATCAGACCTGGTTGGCAATTCTGTACTGGATTATTGACTATGCTATTGTCAATGCTTATATCCTTCATCGACTGGCTGCTACTGGCTCTGGCACTGCTACTCTATCTCATGTGCAGTTCCGTCAACAGCTCTATCTTCAACTCTTTCAATACTCAAATCCTCTACCCACTACTCAATCAAATTCAGATCTAAATCACCATCAGATCTCCTTGCCATATACTCAAACTTGTGCCTGATGTCAGTACAAAAGAAAGGTAGCAGGGAAGAATAAAGGAAGAGCTCCAAGGACAAGATATGGTTGTGAAGCATGTAATAATATTCCTCTCTGCTTGAAAAGAGGGTGTTGGAAGGAGTTCCATTCTCATGATATTAATTAGAGCTAGATCAAATAGATTACATAAATTACACTAAAACACAGCCGATCTCTCATATAATCCAGTAGTTTTCGTGTATTTAATACACTAATGTACACGCTAAAAAATACGCTAATTGTTGCCTCGCCCCCAGACGAGGGGATAAGTAGCCAATCCACCCCGCATCCATCTGATCTCGCTGGTGGTCCTTATTATTAAGTGGTTCATTGGGTCGTGCACGGGAACCTCCGCCAATCAGCCTCCTCTGACCGTGTCATTAGTCTTGGGGAAATATGACTTTACTAAGGGAGTTTAGCAGGAGGGGAGGGATATCTATAAAACCTTTGGAATTCCGCTAGCAAACCGGCCATGTTGATGCCTTTCTGGCCCTTTGGGACAGGCTTGCCTCGCAATCTCTTCACGTCGTTCCTCGCCGGCCCGTTGATGTCGGGGTCGGGTGTTCTTTTTCTACTATTCGCCAGCTCCAAATTGGACTTTTGGATCTGCCGATGAAACCAAACCGATTGGTGCTGCTTCTTCGCATACTCTCTCACATCGGGGGCTCCTAAGGAAAACTCGAGCAATGGCAGTGAGCGTATCTCTGATCCTTCCGAGTAGTCCGCAGAGTTGGCAGATGTAACATGCGCCTTGTAGCACTCGTATATGGTTCTGTTGGTGGCATTGACTCTACGAGTGCTCCATCCATGCTGCCGACCAACATTCTTTGCGCTGTCGTCGGTAAGCTGCTGGCAGCCTACGATAATCAGAGCCTCGAGCGAAGGGAACTGATCCAGGTATGAGAAAACGCGCAGGGAAATGTCGGCTTGCACGTGCAGCATCAATACCCGTAGATTTTTGAAAGCTTCACCGGCGAGGGCTAATTCGCTCCAGCTCCTCACGACGCGATCGGTTAAGTGGGTTATCGGGGCGTCGTCATCCTGATTGGCTGTGGATTGGGCCAGAGAAGGGGTAGTGATATCCAGAGCCACCAAGTTGGTAATTTTAGATACCTCAACGAGGTCGTGGAGGTCTGCATGGTGGGTTGAGATGGTGAAAACCGTGCCCCATCTCAGAGACGGGGAATGAATCAGCCGGGAATAGTCGCGGAGAGGCATCTTTTTAGTGGACGCTTTCAACGAATAAAACGGCGCTATTTCCCTAAACTCCAAGGGATACACCGTTGCGAATATTTTCCAGAGATGCAAGGTTCTCCTTTCGCTAGAAAAAAAAAAAAAAAAAAATAAAGAGGCTTAGGTCAAAAAGGGAGCCCTGCAAGATTAAAAACCGGAAGGTTCCTCAAAGGGTGAAGAAGGACTTGCTTTGCTCACCACCGCCCTAAACAATCCCACAAGTATCTAGCAAGTTCCCAAGGAAAGTTCTCAAAATGAAGCGTCGTAAGTAGCCGCTGGTCCAAAAGGGTTTCTCTCATAGCCATGTGCTTCAACGAATTGGCGCCGCAGGGACTGCCTTCTTCCCACCCAGGCGGTAGGTAGGGCGATTCATGACTCCAGCATGGTCCGGAAGTGTCTGACTGGTAAACGAAGGAGGGAACGATGCGATCCGTATAGACCTGGCCGCTATTCCAATCGCATCCTTTCTTGGCCATTTGGCTCCGTGTATTATATATATATATATACTATTCTCCGGGAACAGATGCTCAGTCCAACTTCACAGCTTCTCGCTGCTCGGGGGAATCGCCGATTTTTTCGAGGGAACAGGACTGGCCCAGCTCGGTAGTGATACCGTCCCTTGTACCAGCCACCTCTTAACCCATTGACAATTGGTCGAGTCTGTCGCGATGGGGACCAGTTCTCGTCAACATCGCGTATACCATATTAAGTTTAGTGTTGGCCCGATCAGCTGGATGACAAATAAATATGAAAGCATATTTGTTTCATGCACCATACATACATCGAAGAACGTAGGGTAGAAGAGTCGATAGAAATATCGATTTATAACATACATAAAGAATATCGATGATGATATGATATAAACACTAACATCAACTCCAGGTATCCAGTCATTTGTTTCTAATGCTCCGAGGTTCTGTTTGTATCATTTACGCCCGCCTCTTACAGCTACCTGCACTCATCCACCTGGAGCCTATCCAATCCCCATGCCATATCCACTTCATCCAACAGCTTCAAATCCGCGAGCCCCTAAATGGCCCAACGCATCCTTCAAGCTCACCAAC